ATATTCACTTTTCTTATTTACATTTTTCATTTCCTTTTTACATTCACATTTTTATATTTACTTTTATAGTCACAATTTTATATTTGCTTCTTATATTCACGGTTTTATATTCACTTTTTATATCCACAATTTTTTATTTACTTTTTATATTTCCATTTTTATATTTAAATTTCCCAGCAATAAACCCAGCAACATTTCAATATATCACTTAACTGGCCATTTAAGCCCCTTGCAACCCAAACCACCCCACGAAACACGAAGACAACCCAAGCTGCTGAGAAAACACCGAGGCAGCACTGAAAGTACTTCAGCTCCTGGGATTTTTTTGACTTGAAAAATCATTTAGACAAACATCCCCAAAGCCAAATATTTAAAATAAATAAATCTATTTAATTTCCGAGGTGCTGGAGGTGGCACTCACCCCTGAGGGCGGGCAGCAGAGACCTCTCCTTCTTGTCATCACACTTGTTGCACTCGCTGAAGTAGAGCAGCAGGAACACGTCCAGCAGCACCCACAGCAGGGACGTGGCCACAACCACCTTGCAGTAAATGAACCTCCTCATCCTCCGCTGGGATCGGGCTCCGGAGCCGGGAAACACCGGGAAGGGGCTGAGGGATCACAGGGATAAAACCCGCCCTGGGAGCGGGGATGAGCTGCCCTCTGCAAGGGAATAAAAACAACACACGGTTACAACCACTGATCTCGTTGCTTTACTGACCATTAGCTTATGTTAGCACACAAATTTGCAGTTCCCTCAACGTGTTTATAATGCTGTTTTAGGTCTCTGAACACTACAAGAGAGTTAATTTTTATCTTGCCAAAAAATATTTTGGCCCCCACCTGGCCACGACCTCGTGAAGGAACAGTGAGTCAGTCACAGACACAACCTGGCTCGTGCCTGAAATAGGAAATTGGGCAAAGAAAGGGAAGGGTGAGGCCTCCATGTCTGATTCTCCCAGGGCTGGAGAATCCAGGTGGGTTCCCCTGGAGAAGGGAAGGCTCCAGGGAGAGCTGAGAGCCCCTTCCAGGGCCTGAAGGGGCTCCAGGAGAGCTGGAGAGGGACTGGGGACAAGGGATGGAGGGACAGGACACAGGGAATGGCTTCCCACTGCCAGAGGGCAGGGAGAGATGGGATATTGGGAAGGAATTGCTGGCTGGAAGGGTGGGGAGGCCCTGGAATAGAACTCCCAGAGAAGCTGTGGCTGCCCCTGGATCCCTGGAAGTGTCCAAGGCCAGGTTGGAGCAACCTGGGCTGGTGGAAGGTGTCCCTGCCCATGGCAGGGGGTGGCACTGGATGGGCTTTAAGGTCCCTTCCCACCCAAACCAGTCTGGGATTCTCTGCTCTCTACCCTGGCTGCAATTTGTGCTCAGTAATTAAAATTTAATTAATGACTGTAATTAAACCTCCCACTCACCATCACAACCTGCACTCCAGGCCAGCACTGGGAGTCCTGCCCCGGCCATGCTCCCAAAGCACCCCCTCAGCACTGAACAGCTGGATAACTTTCCAAGTGCCTATAAAAGAAAACATAAAATGCAATTTTCATGGATCACCGAGGTTGGAAAAGCCCTCCCAGCCCATGGATCCCCCCTGTGCCCGATGCCCCCCTTGTCCCCCAGCCCAGAGCACTGAGTGCCACATCCAGGCCTTCCTGGGACACCTCCAGGGCTGGGCACTCCAAATCTCCCTGGGCAGCCCCTGCCAAGGCCTCACCACCCTTTCCAGGAAAGAATCCTTTACCCATTACAGTTTTCCATCCTGACTCTGAACCCCTCAGCTCTCCAATCCAGCAGCTTTACATTTGACATCACTTTTTAATTCCAGCTCATCTGAGCCAATGGGGTGGAAGAGCTGGAATGATTTAAATGAAGTTTTTTTAAATTATTCTCGAGGCGTTATTGCGCTGTGTCCTCATTAATAACGTTTTCCATCTGTCCTCAACATCAACATAACCAATGGTTCTTCCTGCTAAATGATTCCCAACAGTTGATTTAGAATTTCAGGGCACAGGAATTGGTGTTTCAGGGGAGCAAAAAATTCATTTCCACGCTGGTCACGGGGAACAGTCTCGTTACAGGAAGGGAATTGTAAAGGGAAAATCCACATTGCTCAGAGAAGCTGTGGCTGCCCCTGAATCCCTGGAAGTGTCCAAGGTCAGGTTGGAGCAACCTGGGCTGGTGGAAGGTGTCCCTGTCCATGGCAGGGGTTGGCACTGGATGGGCTTTGAGGTCCCTTCCCACCCAAACCATCCCAGGATTTTGTGGTTCTCTAACAAAATCCCCCCTCCAGACCTCAGAAGAGATGAAGCCTCTCAAAGACCAGGTTTATTGTAAGTAAAATACAGAATAACAAGGTTTCCAGGAAAAGGAGGGAGGTAAAAGCGCTGAGGTTTTCAGCCACCACTTCCAAGAATAAAGCTGATTTTTCCAACGTTATCTTGCAGCAGAGCAGCGAGGGAAACTCCTGCCCCCAAACCCTGCAGTTTGGCAGTGTTAGAAGCAATAAAAGCAGGTTTTTACAGCAGAAAACAGGATGCAAATTTTAGAAATCATCTGCACTGCCAGCCTTTCCCAAAACTGCCACAGTAAAGTGCTGTGGTGGGACAATGTTATGGAGGCTGCAAATGCAAGGTCTGAATAAGTGGCAAGAACTGGAGATGTAAAACCTTGACTTGCTTTTCTCATTTACTAAAAAAAAAAATAAAAAACACTTCTCTGCAGCTCCAATTTGGTAAAGCAAAGCAATTGTTCAGCATTTCTCGTTGTGAGTCCCCACACGGCCCCCGCTCATTCCCCACCAGGCATGGAATGAGCAATATTTAATTTTCCCAGGGGCTCGAAGCCACAACATTCATCACCGCTCCATCCAGCCGCCTCCAAAGCTCTTCATTCACTTTCCCGGCACCTCTGCGAGACAAAATAAACATTGATCCAACAAAAAAACCCTCAATTCTCCAGCCAGAATTTTCCTGCCAGCGCTGCCGGTCTCACTTTTTTTAGTGAAATCTCAGGGTAATTTCAGGCTCTTTTCCAGATTGATGGGATGTCACCCCAACAGATGCTCCCTTCTCCAGGCTGAACAATCCCAATTCTCCCAGCAGAGCTGCTCCATCCCTCAGACCATCTCTGTGGCCTCCCCTGGACTCACTCTAACAGGTCAAAGTCCTTCCCTTCCCAAATGGCCACTTTCTGTAAATCAGGATCAGCAGATCCTCAAACAGCCCCTTAATCTCTTGCCACTCTTAGGACTGGACAGGAATTAAGTGCCCTAATCCCTGAGCCAGCCAGAAATAAACTGATTGCAGAAATTCCTCACGGAAAATCAGAATTACCTGATTTCTCACCCAGCTTTTCCTGAATCAGCACAGCAGCACAGTTGGAGTCCGAGTCCAGCTACATCCTACAACTGTGATTACATCTCCCAAATTAACATCAAAACTATTTCATCTGATCCCCAAAAACCTGTGAGAGCCATCTGTGCTCCCAGGGACACCAAACTCACTGATGGCATCTGGATGCCTGGATAAGGAAGGATCCAAAGCCCAAATTATTAGTATGGAAGGACGGTTTCAAAGCTAAACAGGCCAATTTTTTTGTGGAATGAAACCTAAACCAGAGCTGAACATCATTTTTCAAGCCAACGCTGCTTTTAATGCCACCGTAAAAGCTTAATGGAGGACTTCCAGGAGCTGGGCCTGATAAAAACATGGCTTAATCTAACATTTGTGATAGGCAAGTGTGGGGAGGGATTCCACACTTCCTTCCTCTGCCAGATGTGGCCACATCTGCCTGCATCCCCAGCAAGCTGCTGTGCAGCATCAGCCAGCAGTTGCCTGGCAACCAACAGCCTGCTCCTGTGGGTACCAGGCTCCCAAAATCCCTCCCAGGCTGTTCCTCTGGGGACCAGGCTCCCCAAAATCCCTCCCAGGCTCTTCTCCTGGGGACCAGGCTGCCCAAAATCCCTCCTAGGTTCTTCTCCTGGGGACCAGGCTCTCCCAAAATCCCTTCCAAGCTCTTCTCCTGCGGACCAGCCTCCCCAAAATCCATCCCAGGCTGTTCCTCTGGGGACCAGGTTGCCCAAAATCCCTCCCAAGCTCTTCTCCTGGGGACCAGGCTCCCCAAAATCCCTCCCAGGCTGTTCCTCTGGGGTCCAGGCTCCCCAAAATCCCTCTCAGGCTCTTCTCCTGAGGACCAGGCTCCCCAAAATCCCTCCCAGGCTGTTCCTCTGGGGACCAGGATGCCCCAAATCCCTCACAGGATGCTCCCATGGGGATCAGGATGCCCAAAATCCCTCCCAGGCTGTTCCTGTGGTGACCCAAACCACAGCAGGGCTCTCCCTGCAGCTCAGCAGCACCTTATGGAAAGCAAACCAAAAACGTTCCTGGAAATCTGTTGTTATTCGTACCGCTGGTTTCCCAAACAGGTTTGGTCAAACATCACATCAAACACCATCTACAGCCACACAGAGACTTTCCCCAGCACCAACCACAGAGAGAACAACTCCTCCTCCTCCTCCTCTCGTCCTTTACATCCCTCGAGAAGTATTGAGGGGGAAAATTACACAACGGGAGGGGGCAGAAAACTGCCTCGGCTGAGGTTTTGGGGGCACCTTTTCAGCGCTGCCCGCAGCCCTCGGCTCATCAGAGAGAGGAGGGAGGGGATGGAGTCACGTCGCTGTCACTCCGGAGCAAATTTCCTGCCTTTTCATTATTTAACTGAGGTTTTCAAGGGAATCTCCTCTTTGTCACGCAGCCCATTCTTTTAATGGATGTGACTTAACACCTCCTCCGGCGCTGAAATCCATCCCGCCCGACGCGTCTGTGCGGTGCGAGCGCCTCATTCACAGCCTCGAGTGCTCCTTCCGCACGCACTCCAAAGGATTTAGGGATGGGAACCTCGGGATGGCCGCAGCCGCTGCTCTGACACGGACCACGAGAGCCCTGGGGATGAGAATTCCAGCTGGTTTTCCGAGCCCGTTAATCGGACATTAAATCCCGCGCTGATGCAGCGCTTGGTGTTGATGGACCCCCGGCGCGGGGGAGCGGCAGAACACCGGATTTTTAAGGAATAAATGCAACTGGGGAGGGAGAGCCACCCCAAAGCCCTCCAGCGAGGAGTGCTGGAGGCTTTCTGGAGCTCATCTGCTCCGTCACAGCCCTTCCATCAGCCTGGGACACGGAGGGGTCGGGGGCTGAGCACCCACCGCGGGACTGTGCTGGAAGAAATTCCCATCGGGAAAGAGAAGCGATCACAAATGTATTTTTTTTTGCCGCTCGAGGGAGGCAGAGCAGAGCTCAGCTCGCCTGAATTCCAAGATTCCCAGCCTTCACCTCTGATAAATCAAGGGATGAGCGCGGCTGCTCCTCGTGGTTGTCCCTGTGATTCACTGCAGCTCCCAGACAACAACAACATCCAAGTGTCAAGTCACAGATAGATCTGGCCAGGAAGGTTTGCAGCTCTCTCTTTCTAAACACATCTTAATTTTTAAATAGTGTATTTAAAGCTGTATCCTGCCTACAAAAATCTTCTGGCCAGCTGGGTCAAACCAAAGCTGGTTTTCAGCTACTACACACCACACCCCCAAAAACCACATTTAATACCATGAGCAGCTTATTAATTCATGTACAGCTGCCAGAAGAACTTCTAGTGTTAGAACTGTCAAACTCCGAGATCGACACGGGAACTCTTTCAGTGAGGAAAAAAAGAAGGAGAAAATAGAAATTAGGCACCTCTAAGTCAGAGCCACCCAGTGTTTTGTGCTTTAAGAATTAGTTCCTCTCCCTCTCTCCTTTCCTGAAATAGGCTGCTTGACATTTGATAACAGACCTATTCTTCACTTCAAAATGCGTTTCCGTGACTCAGAAATTAAAGTGGAAAAGACTAATTAATTCATCCGAGCCGAGGGCTCTGCGATGAAAGCCCCCCCTGTGCTTTGTGCTGCTTTGTTCAGGCGATGCCAAGCACCAGCTTCTCCCCCTAACAGAGCCCTCAAAGCACCTCGTCCCCCCGAGGCAGACAGGAAGAGCTTTTGTGTTCAGAGCCACCTCCCTGCAAGTCATTTATCCTGCACAGGATGGCCAGTTTGGGAAGAACTGCTCTGGGTTTACCCCTCCTTTAAGTCCTTCCCTTCAGGCACCGACCTTGTCCTGAAGGAGGTTGTTCTACCAAACAAAGCACCAAAAACCTGAAGTTAACTAAAAATAAAGATTAAAAAAGCCCCACAAACCTTAAAAGGACATTGTAGGCTCATGGAATGGTTTGGGTTGGAAGAGATATTAAGGTTTGTCCTGTTCCAGCCCCCCTGGCATGGGCAGGGACACCTTCCACCAGCCCAGGTTGCTCCAACCTGGCCTTGGACACTTCCAGGGATCCAGGGGCAGCCACAGCTTCTCTGCAAGAACTCGAGTGCTGCCAATTCACTCTGACAACCCCAGGGGCTATAACATATTAGCAGCTCAAAGTCCTCCTCCCATCCCTTTTTCCAGGTTCTTCCCCACCTGACAAGGGATACAACCACATTGGACAGCTTTGGTCACCAATCTCCCAAATTTTTCCCTACCAGCCAGACTTGGCATATCCCCCAAGCCCCATCTCCTCCCCGTGCCCAGGTGAGGCAGGTATTTATCCCCCTCCAAGCTGCTGCAGGGCCTCCTCACAGCTAATTAGCAGCCGAACCTGACTGTAATTATCTGCTTTCAGATGGTGGGTGCTCTCCCACATACCCGGGAAATTAAAAGAAAGGAGTGTTGAGTGGCATTGACAGCCTGACAAGTCCCACCCAGGAGGAGTTTTCCAGCTCATCAGACAGGAAGAAAATGCTGGAGCAAGCCAGGCAGTGATCCAAGGACTGGGAATCCCTACAGGGCAGTGGGCACGGCCCCAAGGCTGCCAGAGCTCCAGGAGGGTTTGGACAACGCTCTGAGGGACGGGGGGGGATTGTTGGGGTGTCTGTGCAGGGTCAGGGGTTGGATGGATGGTCCTTGTGGGGCCCTTCCAGCTCAGGATTCTGGGACAAGTAGCAGAGGAAGGACACAGCCACGTGGATCTGGGACAAACCTGTGGCTTGGCAGGAACCACCAGCACGGACACCATGGAGATGTGGGACCACTCCTGATCAACATCACACCAAAAACTACCTGACCACCCCCACTGCACCAGTGCCACTGGCAAATCAGGGAATCCTTGAGCTTGGAAAAGACCTTTAGGATCATAAAGTCCAACCATCAGCCAGCACCGTGTTCACCACTGACCCCCGTCCCCAAGTGCCACATCCACGTGGCCCTGAAATCCCTCCAGGGATGGGGAATCCACCATGTCCCAGGGTTGGACAACCCCATCCATGAAGGAATTTTCCTTAATACCCAACCTAAAACTTCCCTGATGCAACTTGAGGCCGATTCCTTTCATCCCACCACTTGTTCCGCAGGAGTAGGGAACCCCTGAGCCTCCTTTTCTCCAGGCTGAGCCTCCCTCAGCTGCTCCTCATCAGACTCTGTGCTCCATGAACAAAAATCATTATTCCCTCACTTCTTCCAGCCCAACAGAAGAAATCTGGGAAAAAAACCCTCAAAGTTTCTGAGTCCTAAAAAGGCCATTTGTACAATCAATAAGTTATCACATCACACTCCCTCCAACTTAAAACAGGTCATCACAAAGAAGTAGAATATGCACAGTCAAATCCTTTTGTATTTTCCACTCATCTCCAAGTTTTTGTTAGAAGTGACCAGCTCTCACGATGTTGGATTTAAAAAGAAAACAAACAAAAAAAGTCTTAAACATATTTTCCCATGCTCATAAAAGTGACGTGCAGCCACCTGGAATTCAATTCTCCCCCGTTTTCAGGCAAAATATTCCCTTGGATTCACCTGCTGGTGTACAAATCCCCTTGAAATTGTGTCTGACATAGAAAAATATGCCAAGTTTTCCTAGTTTCTTATTTCCAGAGCAATTCTGCTTTTCCTCTCGGGCCTTAATTGTTGTGTCCCCCAACAGTGGGGTTTGGTCATTCCTACCATATTTTGCCTCACCCCAAAACAAACCCACGTTCCCACAGACAAACCAGCCCTAAGCTTTTGCCTACAAGGTTGATAAGGAAGGTTTTTACACTTTATTCTCCCCCAGGAATGGGGTTTTTGGGGTACAGATGGTGGGAACAGCTCTGTCACCTCTCCTTCCAGAAGAAGCGGAGCTGTTTCTGGGGTAGGTGGGAGGAGGGTGTGAAGAGCCACAAACCCCAGAGCCCGTGGGCTGATTTCCTGCCTCCAGTCCCTCTCCTGGGCAGGAAAAGCAGTTATTTACACTCAGATTTTCTTCAAGCTCATCCACAGTCCAACAGGAGAGCAGGAGGGTGGAATTCCACCCTGTTCCCTGAGCACCAGTGCCTGCTGCCAGCACAGGGAACTTGCAAACACGGATCACTCAGGTGTGAACACAAAGGTAGGAGACACAGCAGAGAATTTGTTTCTCAGAGCACTATTTCCCAGAAGAAATCACTTCTAAACCTCCAAAAACCGGCCCCAGTGGAATCCAAATTGATGCCATGTTACCATCAGTTCAATTCCATCCAAACCTACTTTTTATACCAAAAAAAAATTAATAAAATCCAAAAGGTTTTGTAGTAACAGGCCTGGCTAAAAAAAAAAAAAAATCACCACGAGATAAAGCACCACTTTTCAAGTTATGCCGAATTTTTTAGCTGTTCTCAGCATCACCTTTTTTGATTTTACTGACAGTTTTACAGAACACCAAGACCACGGATGTGCAGGAGAGGAAAATCAAAACAGACTTGAAACCCACGAGCTTTTAAGGCCTCATCTCTCTCCTCCAAGTCCAGCAGCCACCAAGCAGTTAAAATAATCTTTGCCTCCTGCTCTCCTCTGCCTCATCCCAAGCCTGCCTTAATCTCCCATTAATCTTTCCTCCTGCTATTTCCAGCGCCCAAAGAATTATTCAGCCCATTATTTTGCGACAAAGAAGAAACAGCAGCGGCTCTAACAGTTCTTTTCTCTTTGCTGTTTCAGATTGATGAAATTTCTTATCAAAAGCTGTAAAATGAACTTTATTTGCCGTTAGCTCGGCAGAAGCATTTACCCGATCCTCCGGAAAACAGTTGGCATCCCAACTTCCGAATTTTTTAGGAAAAACCCCAGCTCCGAGCAGCTGTGCCAAATCCCTTTTTCCACCGGTTTATATCCATGCAGGAGGAATATCAGCGGGCAGTGAAATCCTCCCGGTGTTCCGAGCTGGCAGCGGGTGCTTCCTGCTCTGTGTGAGCGCTGGGAAAAACGGGAACGAGCCGGGCTGAGCGGCTTCCAGGGAAAGCTATGGCTGAAACCTTCAGCCCCAAACGCTATTCCAGGGAAACCTACGGCTGAAACCGTCAGCAAAAAACGCTATTCCAGGGAAACCTATAGCAGCCCAAAACATTAATCCAGGGAAACCTACGGCTGAAATCCACAGCCCAAAACGTTGCTCCGTCCCTACCACACGCAGCGTCTGTCCGTGGTTTTCCAGGGATATTTCGATGCTTCCCGGCAGCCTCGCACAGCGGAGACGGCGTCGGTTCCTTGGGGAGATCCCAGGCAAATCCCCGCGCGCCAGGGCTGGGATTCAATCCCGGCTTGTCACACATCGCGCTCCGGGTCAGGCTTATCCCCGATTAACCAACCCCGCGGGGAGCGCCAGGAAAGGCGGCGGGATCGGGGCGGGGGGAGCGCCAAGAGCATCCCCAAGAGCATCCCCAAGAGCATCGCTCCTCCAGCCGCTCCCGGCGGCTCCGGCGCTCCCTCCAACCCCCCTGGAAGCGGGAAAGGAGCCGGGTCCCGTCTCGTCCCGCACCCCCCGCCCCTCTTACCTGCGGCGGAGCCCCGAGCTCGGCTCCCTGTGCCCGGGGCTCTGTCCCTGTGCCCGGGGCTCAGCGCGGAGCCGCCGCCCGCCTCCCCCGCATGGCCGGGGATGTGCGGGGGGAGCGCGGCGGGAGCGCGGCCCCGGGGCCGCCGGGATCGGGATCAGGATCGGGATGGGGATCGGCACCGCCTCGGCCCGCGATGGCTGCGGATCCCGCGGGGTGCGGCCCGGCCCGGCCCGGCGGACACGGAGGATGGAGGGATGGAGGGATGGAGGGATGGAGGGATGGAAGGACGGGCAGGTGCCGGGGGAGGCTCCGCGCCTCGAGAACAGGGACGGCCGGGAAGGGGCGGGGGCGGCGCGGGCGGGGAAGGGGCGGGGAGGGAGGCGGGGGGGAAGGAAGGGATGCGGGAAGGGAGGATGGAGGAGCGGAGCTCGGGGGATGCGGGGAGCCGGGTGGAAGGCACGGGGGACTGAGAGGGTCGGGGGATGCGGGAAGGGGTGAGGAGGAGAACAGGGGATGCTGAGGGGATGGGGGCGTGTGGGATGGGGTGATGAAGGGAATAGGGGAAGGCAGGGATACGGGGGGATCGAGGGGTGCGGGATGGGGTGATGAAGGGAATAGGGGAAGGCAGGGATACGGGGGGATCGAGGGGCGCGGGATGGGGTGATGGGAGAAGCCTGGAGGAAGGCAGGGGGGCTGAGAGGGTCGGGGGGTGCGGGAAGGGGCGCTGAGCAAAGCGGGGCTCGGGGGACGCGGGATGGGGTGATGAGGAAAGCGAGGAGGAAGGCACGGGAACTGGGGGATCGGGGATGCCGGAAGGGGAGCTGAGCAGAGCGGGGGGATCGAGGGATGCGGGAGGGGGTGCCGAGGGGAGCGGGCAGCGATGCCGGGGGCAGCGGGGGCGGATGGAGGGAGCAGGGAGGTGCTGAGGGAGCAGAGGAAGGCAGGGGCACTGAAGCACATCTCCTGCACCACGTGTCAGGTCGGCATCAAAGGTTTGTGCCCCTCGGCCGGCGCTGTGCCCATCCCAGCGGGGCAGTGCTGGGGTCACACACTCACCACCAACCCCCCCCGCACCGCTCCGACCTGCAGAATCCTTCCCGACTTTTTGAGGGAAACATCTCTCAGTCGAAAAGGAAAGCAGAAGGTAAAAGCTCCTTCATCCTGCGTGCATGAGGAGCCACGGAAAGATTGCACAGACATTCCCTAAGGGAGGAGTGGATAAATCACGGAATAAGAGAGTGGGTTGGGCTGGAAGGGACCTTAAAGCCCATCCAGTGCCACCCCCTGCCATGGGCAGGGACACCTTCCACCAGCCCAGGTTGCTCCAAGCCCCGTCCAGCCTGGCCTTGGACACTTCCAGGGATCCAGGGGCAGCCACAGCTTCTCTGCCCAACCTGTGCCAGGGCCTCCCCACCCTCCCAGCCAGGAATTCCTTCCCAATATCCCATCTCTCCCTGCCCTCTGGCAGTGGGAAGCCATTCCCTGTGTCCTGTCCCTCCATCCCTTGTCCCCAGTCCCTCTCCAGCTCTCCTGGAGCCCCTTTAGGTCCTGCAAGGGGCTCTCAGCTCTCCCTGGATCCTTCTCTCCTCCAGGTGAATCCCTCCAGCTCTCCCAGCCTGTCCAGGAAGGTTGGTGTTTGGATCCAGCAATCCCTGCTCTCCTTTCCCTCCCCTGTCCGTGACCAGCCTTGGCAGCACTAAAGGACAGCCAGAAACTCCTCATTTCCAACGTTGTACTGGCAGTTCAATAATATCTTTTTTTTTTTTAACACTGAAAACTAAGTGCAGAAACTGAAGTGCTTTGATTCAAAGATGAGAAACCTCTTGGCACTTTGTATTTCTGTTCCTCTTACAAAAATAAGCAATATAAGCATTTTCCTCTTACAAAAATAAGTCATATAAGCATTTTTCCCCTTACAAAATAAGTAATAAACACATTTTTTCACTCTGACCTAAAATATTTAACTACATGATTTGAGGGCCTCTTACACTCCCCAAAACATGCTGATAATTGCTCAGAGTTTTTTAACTGCTCCGTGTGTGTGAGATGTGCAGTAAAAGGGTTAAATGATTCCTGAGGTCAACTCAGAGCGAGCAAAGCAGTGCAGGGCTGGGAATCCAGCATTCCCTGTGTCCCTGAGGATGAGCCAGTCAATTCCTCTGCATTGCAGCTTTCTTATCTCCAGCCCCTCAGCGCTGTGAGAGCATTAATTGCTTCCTGTAAAGCACGTTGAGATGCACAAATGGATGTTCCCTGTGCAAGTGCAGAGGATCCTTTCCCTCTCCACTCCTAATAAGGTGTTTGCTCCAAGTGGGAAATCACAGCAGAAGGAAAAAATGATCCACAGGGTTTGGCACCATTCATTATTTCTGTTACATTCTATTATATTGAATTAATTTCTATTTATCACCACGCCATAAATAGAAAAGGAACAGCAAAATTCAGGGACTGAATTATTAATTCAGCACTAATGGCACCTGTTTGGAAGAGCAGCCTAAAAATCCTTCGGTTTTACTCATGGAAAGGTTTGGGAAAAGTGTCCTTGCCCCTTGCAGGGGGTGGGATGAGATGAGCTTTAAGGTCCTTCCAACCCGAAGCATTGCAGGATTCTGGGATGCAACAACCTGACCAGGATCCCACTCATGGATCTGGAAGCAAAGGGATGTTCTGCATTCCTGTTTGCTCCAGGAGGGAAAAAAAGTAGGAAAAAAAACACCCACCAAAAATAGGGAAAGCTGAGGAGGAGTGGAGATGGGAAGTGACTTTTGGATGAGAGAAACTGGAGCCACCTGGATTTTTCCTCTGCCTGTGGAGGCCAAAGGAGAAGAGACTGAAGGCCATAAAATCCCAGCTGTCATCAAAAGGTATAATATAGATGATTATCCATGGTTTGGGCTGGAGGAGCAGCCAGTGAGAGCATCCAGCAGCACATCCCAGCTCCCCTGTGGGGCTGAGGTGCTTTGGGACAAAATGTTCCAAAAATCCTGGGACGGTCACAGCTCCAGCTGCTGCTGAAACCCACAGTGCCAGCTGAAGGAAAGGGATGGGAAGAGACATTCCTGGAAGAGCTATAAATAGCTGTTCAGTGGGATGGTCGGGATGCAGCCCCCACACTGGGAACACCACATGGAGAATGTGCTGGAAGCACAGGCTGCTGGGAAACAATTCCATTAGAATTCTAGATTTTTCCTGTTCCTTAGCCCATTTTCCAGAATTATCCTACAGTTTTGCTATTCTTTAGCCTGATTTCTAGAATTTATAGTTTTGCTATTCCTTAGCCCCTTTTCCAGAATGATTTTATGTTTTTACTATTCCCTAGCCTGTTTTCCAGAATTATTTTATATTTTTGCTATTCCTTAGCCCGTTTTCCAGAATTATTTTATATTTTTGCTATTCCTTAGCCTGTTTTCCAGGATTATCCTACAGTTTTGCTATTCCTTAGCCCGTTTTCCAGGATTGTCCTACAGTTTTGCTATTCCTTAGCCTGTTTTCCAGGATTATCCTACAGTTTTGCTATTCCTTAGCCTGTTTTCCAGAATTATTCTACAGTTTTGCTATTCCTTAGCCCATTTTCCAGAATGATTTTATAGTTTTACTATTTCTTAGCCTGTTTTCCAGAATAATTCTACAGTTTTGCTATTCCCTAGCCCATTTTCCAGAATGATTTTATATTTTTACTATTCCCTAGCCTGTTTTCCAGGATGATTTTATATTTTTACTATTCCTTAGCCCCTTTTTCCAGAATTATTCTACAGTTTTGCTATTCCTCAGCCTGTTTTCCAGGATTATCCTACAGTTTTACTATTCCTTAGTCCATTTTCCAGAATGATTTGATATTTTTACTATTCCCTAGCCTGTTTTCCAGAATGATTTTATATTTTTACTATTCCTTAGCCCCTTTTTCCAGAATTATCCTACAGTTTTGCTATTCCTTAGCCCATTTCCCAAACATCCACTCCAGATCAGTGCCAGTCATTCCATCAAGTGTGTCCATTCTTTCTTTTTCCAATAACACCTTTAGCACAGGGATAAAGCCAATTTTAAAGAGAGAAGTCTTGGTAGGACAGAGGAAATAACCTCTACTACAGGAATCTAGTTCTGAACAACTGGGGAAACACAAAGTATAAAAGTGGAATATCTACCATGACCTTCCAGCCAATTTTTCATGCCAGAAGGGAACTATTTTTGCTGGAGAATAAATATCTGTGTGTTTGTTTCCCTGAACAAATCCTGTGACTTGGGTCTGATCTGCAGAAAGGAAAACAAAGCTGGAGGAAGGAGATTATTTGTTTTCATCTGAGTTTTACATCAATAATTAGACAAAATACAGACCCCTTTCCCACCACCTCGACACAACCTGTTCTGTTTGAAAAGAAATGGGACAACCTTTGGGATGTGAGGAGGTTGAAACCCCCTCGTGCTCCCTGTTCTCCCTCCAACACAAATCCTGCAGGTTTTTTAGGGCAGGGTTTGGCACTCAGACCCCTCAGCTGATGGAGGAGGTGTGGGAAGGGATAAATCACCTGCCCTGGCAGCAGTTCAGGTCCCTCACACTCGAATTTCTGCTCAGACAAATGTCACCTGGGCTTTGGGATTCCATTTCCCTGTGTCCTGAGTCCTTCTCCCTTGTTTATAGAGGTAAATCCCAGGCTGCTCCTGGCCTTGATGGAATCATTTACCTTCTGCTTTCCTAATTAAAGACCAGGATATATTTTTCTGTTGGTGGCAGTGAAATAAGGCCATTAATGGTGGGCCATGTTTTGCTTCTTAATTAGATTCATCATCTGCTTCGGTTTAGAAAGATGAGCAAGGTTGGTGAAGCTGGAAAAGTGCATGGAACTGAGTTTGAGGCTCTTTCCACAGGGAAAAAAAATCCCAAATTTCAGTGAACTGTGTTCCAGGTGCAGTGAGGAGCAGGTGAGGAGCCCCCTGAGGTCTGGATTTCCTCAGTGGCCCGACCTGTGCTGGAGGTGGTTCCTCAGGACACCACAACCTGCTGTTTGCCCCAAAACCTCTGCCCAGCCCCAGTCAGAGATGGCAAAAACAGCATCCCAGGTTTGCTCTCAGTTTGAGGGTGAGGAGGATTTTGATGCAAAGCACTTGAGACACGAGAAAACACGTGGGAAAACCCTTTTAGCTCCGGGTTCCAAACACTGTCCTCCAGACATTTGCCATTACCAGAGAATCAATTTTGTCATCAACCCATTTCTTCCTGTTTGATCCAAATTCCTCTCAGAAATGAAGGATTTATAACTTCCTTTCCCTCAATGCCCATTATCATTTATATCCC